GAGCATTTTTTTAATAAAAAAAATACTTTGCTTAAACACAAAGCATATTGAAAGCAAACATTCAATCTGAAACTTCACCAAAGAAATATTTGCATATGTGGAGCTGAAGACTCTCAACGGAAATTTAAAAATGGAAAGCAAATATTAGTAAAAGAACCAGAGTTTCCAGTAATTAGGGCTCGTGGTGGTATGAATGGTCATTAAATCCCATTTCTCCTTTATAATATAAAAGGAAAACCAGGAATTCTGGGAATTGAAGTCCACGAGTCATAAAAGAGCCAAGGTTGCCTACCCCTGCCTTAAGCCATGATGCATTCATTGTTGTTTCTCCTATTATTTTACCATATCTGGCTCTTATCTTTACCCCCAACTTCTTAAAAATGTGACTTGAGTTTTCAATTACTGGATTTTCAAGGTTATTTTCAAGGTATTTAACCATGTTGCATTAACCCATGATGCGTTTAACCTGGTTTCCAGAACTAACCATAATTGGCAGAGAAAAAGCTGAGCAGATTCACCTGGCTGCTGGAGGGGCTCCCTTCCAGCAAAGCTTTGGCCTGCTGGGGAGAGAGAGAGAGGACCCCCACCCCTATTATTTGGTGGGCAACAGGTTGGGGAATCAATTCCTTGGCTTACCACGCAATAAAAGTGGTTTTTTTTGCTTCCAAAGTCCCACACCTGGATGATTGCTCAAGCTAACAGGGATTGGGAGATTAGGAAAAGCCCCTCTTCTTCTCTAGAAGACTCAGAGAGATGGAAAGGGAGGTTTATTTATCTCTATCCCACCTTTGTAAAGTTTATAAACAACTGAAGGCTGTTTACATCCCACACACTTTCCTTCTCCCATTTCCCCACAACAGCCCCCAGAGGTGGGTAGGGCTGAGAAATTGAGAAGGACTTAGCCCAAAGTCACCCAGCTGGCTTTCATGCCTAAAGCAGGCTAAAACATATAAGGAAAGGCTGCTGGAATTGGGATATGTCTAGTTTAATGAAGAGAAGGACGAGAGGGGACATGAGAGCAGCCTTCCAGTATCTCAGGGGCTGCCCCAAAGAAGAGGGAGTCAAGCTATTTTCCAAAGCGCCAGAGGGCAGGACAGGAAGCAACGGGTGGAAACTAACCAGCTTGCAGGACTGGCCTAGGGTAATTTTTAGAGGGGTTTTAAATTATATTTTAATTGGACTACGCTTAAATATTTCTTTTTAATTAATTTTAATTTTGTAATTGTTATTTGTGTATTTTAATCGATTGTCAGCCGCCCTGAGTCCGCAAGGAGAAGGGCGGGATATAAATTGAATTTAATAATAATTTAATAATTTAATAATAACCAAGGAGAGAAGCAACCTAGAACTAAGGAGAAACTTCCTGACAGTTAGAACAATTAACCAGTGGAACAACCTGCCTCCAGAAGCGGTGAATGCTCCATCACTGGAAGTTTTTAAGAAGAGACTGGACAGCCATTTGTCCGAAATGGTGTAGGGTTTCCTGCCAGAGCAGGGGGTTGGACTCGATGACCTCCAAGGCCCCTTCCAACTTTATTATTATTATTATATTATTATTATTATTATTAATATTAATATTATTATTTGTTACTCACATCTCCTGGCGATTGCCAGCTTTCGTGCCTAAGGCGGGACTTGAACTCGCAGCCTCCCCCTTTCAAACCTGGTGGCTTATTAACCATAGACCAAACTGGGTCTCTGGAGCACTTAACCGTAGAGCCCACTGGCTGATAAAGAGACTTAATCTAGAACTTGGCCGCTTCGCAAAGGGCGCGCTTCAACTCCCAGAATCCCCCAGCCAGTTTGCCAAGCCCAGACACCCCCCCCACACACACACATGCCACAGCCATCTCTGATAAGTAGAGCCCAGGTAGAGCCCAGGTAAAGCCAGCCAGCCCCCCCCTCCCCACCCCACCCCAAGGTTGGAGTCCTTTGATGGAGACGAGGCTGCCTCACCTCCAGGTGTGTCCTACCTGTGCATGGGAGCTGCTGGTCAGAAACTCCTCGTTCCCTCCTTCCGGCTTTAAATAGCCGAGGCTGGCGGTTGCAGGTGGGGTCAGCACAGGTGAAGGGCCGGCTGCAGAGGGGGAAGATCAGAGGCTTGGGAGGAAAAGAGCTGCAGCTGCCTCTCAAGCAGAGGGATGGGATCGGTCCAAAGATCAGGCGATCTCTCCTTGGGCAAGGATTGGGCGAGGATCCAGTCTCCCGTCTTGGACTTTCCCCCCTGCCCTGCTCAGGGGCCATAAAGCAGGCAGGACTCCTCTCCGGGA